CTTGTCAATGGGGAATACCTTTACCTTTTTACTACAGGAACACTCTTTAGGACTGGGGCACAGCCTGAAAATGTTCCTTTTGCCATACTTACATGTTATCAGTGTTATGATACTAAGCATACCTGGGTGAGGATAGTTCAAGTAGCTGTGCTGACTATTTGTAGCAGATAGGTGTCTCGTGCTGGGTTCCTGTTTTATTCCAGGATGAAAATCATGTGGGCACTCTAAGCCATTTTTGCAGCCTTAAGAGGTGATCCCTTTGCACTTTTTTTTTTTAAAATGAAGAAAGTGTAGATGTGAAAACCTCTACATGGCTCTTGTGCACTTTCTTTCAGTGAAAAGAAGTCTTTTGAAAACCAGAAGTGTTTGGGAGGTGTTTTTCCCCTCCTTTTTAAAGAAGAAGTAACCATCTAGTGACTTTCACTTTCAAAGGAGGTTCTGGGACTGCTCTAAATGGATCCTAAATGGGAAATAATTCCCATATTTTCTGATATATCCATTTGGCCATCATGCCTGAATAATATCTTTAAAAAAATAATCCAGTTCATGTAACCTGAACCCACAAATTGAAATTCTGCATGACGTTTAGGAATAAAATGTGTGTTTCTGCTTTATGCAAGTAGGATTGTGTGTATGTATGTATGCTTCCATGCACCAATCAGTTGTGACACTCAATTGCATGCATCCAGGAGTGAGAAAAGACATGATAATCCTGTTTCCTTCTCTGTGCATATGTAGGTAAGATTGTCTGATCTTCGCTGTATAATTAGCGTCTACATTTAAGGCATCATTTTTCATTCAAATTGCACAACCCTTAAAACATTAGAAAATAATGACTTTAGCTTATGTTCTTTCCCTTTTCAGATTCTGCAGAGGAATTTTCCTAAACTTGCTGCAGTATTGGACTGTTTATTAGACATCTACATTGAACTTACTAGTGATAAACATTTGTCGGAAAGTCACACAGCAGGAGATGATGCCATAATGGAAGGCACACCACACTTTACCAAATACAAAAAGCCAAGCTTAGAGGGCAGAGAATTATCCCTGAGGTATTTAATATGCAGTTAAGGTATTTGATCATTTATGTTGAGGGTGGCAAATTAACTTGACAGTAACATTTTAGGTTTTTAAAAGACATTTGCCCATGTTTTAATTGAAATTCCTAGTGGGAAAGCATTAATGGAATAAAAATATGGTGAGTTGGTGCTTTTCAGAAAAAAAAACCTAACAGTAGCGAAGCAATTAATGAAACAAGAATGGAGTTGTAGTGTTATACAGATGGGGGGGCAGAGTTAAATAGAAACAGTACCATTAAGATGGGGATATAATATTTTCTCTTGTTTTAGGGATTTACTGAATTGGTGCAATAGGATTTCCTTCAATTTTGACAGTGCTCCTTCTACTGCGCTGAATATTTTTCATGAGGTATGACTATTTGTTAACTCATTCTTGATTTTTAGACTAATTTCCTTAAAGTATGAAACAAAAGTGGCTTTAGGTAGTAGAAGACTGGTCCAGAACTTTAAGTATTTCTAGCTTGTGGTCAGTTATGAGTAGCTGCAGTGCAGTAATATTTGTGCAAGGGATTGTGTGAATCACACCTGGAAGAGGAGGAGGTTGCTAGAGATACTGCTTTTGTATAGCTTCATCTCCAGAATTGTTGTGTGTATGATGAATATGTATTGGCTGATTATGTCCTTTGTTGTTGTTTTTTTTCATGAGGGCACAGCAGTAATAAATGGCAAGAAGATTGGCTGTATATTGTGGCTACAATAGATTCAGACACTGCATGGAGGTACCATAATTTATTTTTCTCCCTTGATTCCATTGACAGGCGTTAGACTGTTTCACAGCTATGCTGTCCAAACAGGAGAGTAGAGTGAAGATGGCAGAAGTAATTGGAAGCAAGTTGA